CGAAACGGATCCTCCCAAGACCCCTGATGCTAATGCTCGTGCGTCCGAACTCACTTCCTTCAAGAAGTATGAGGACGACGCGCGAGATGTAAAGTGTATCATTATGGCCAGTATGACCGCGGAGCTCCAAAGGCTCCACGCGGACATGGAAGTGCGTCCTATGATACAATGCTTAAGAGACCTTTACCAGGGTCAACCCCAAAACTCAGGTATTTACGTTATCGAAGTCAATATGTCTAATATCACCTCTTGGGTGATGGATACTGGATGTGGTTCTCACATCTGTACTTTTATGCAGAACTTGCATGAATGTAGACAATTGACGGAGGGAGAGATACAACTAAATTCGGCAATGGCGCACTCGTCTATGCATTAGCCGTCGGAACCTATAGTTTATCTCTACCTAGTGGTCTAATATTGCATTTGAATAATTGTCTGTTTGTACCTAGTATGAGCAGAAACATCATTTCTGTATCCTGCCTTGACAAAGCAGGATTTTCATTCGTTGTAAAAGACAAAACTCTTTTTGTCTTTAGAAATGATATATTTTATGCAAGTGTAAAAATGACGAACGGTCTCTATGTCCTTGACATGGATACCGCAGTATATAACGTAGATGTTAAGAGAAACTGTAACACCCTAATCCGTCCAGGTCTGCAGCCCCTTTCGGACTAAAGTATTGATTTGGTAATCGTGATAATTTAAAACATTTCAAACATTTTTATTTATAAATAATATTCCATACATAATTGTAGAGAAATATGGAGTGTTTAAATAAAATGCGGAAGCGACTTTAAAATATGTCTCATAACAACATAATTATTTATTTCATTCAATAATCTACCACGACTGTCTCGCCCCCTTCTGCTGCCAAGAATCAGCCAATCATTCATTCTGCCTACCTACGTGTAGCAAATAACACACACTACACGCTCAGCGGTGAAGCTGAGTAAGCATATCTAAAGCGTCGAACATCCACATAAATTGAATCTCGATTCATAATCAACCATTTGATATCATGCACACAATATATAATTCAAACATTCATGATATTCTCAATATTTTATTCCAAGTCATTTGATATTCAATATCTCAACAATGCTCTTAAATTATTCTTAA